AGGATTACAGCAAGTTTGAGGCCAGCCTGGGCTACCAAGTAACTTTTGGCCAGTTTGAGACTCAGAGTGAGACTTCATCTCAAGAAGAAAGGAATCAAAAGTTTACTGTTTTATTTCTTTAAGTTGTTAGGGTTTTTAAGTTTGTGTGTGTATTTGTGTGTTTTTTGTGTGTATGTATGCATGAGTGTGTTTTTTTGGTTTTTTTTTTTAGTTGTTAGGGTTTGGGGGTATGTGGTTAGTTTGGGGAGGGTATGTGTGTGTCTAAATGCAGTTAGTGATGCCCATGTGTGCATGGCTATGGAGCCATTCTCTGAGCCGAGAAATCCTACCAGACTGAATAGCCATTATTGGAAATTTTTGAACACATTTATAATATTCCCACCTACATAAATCTTCTCCATGGTGGAACTAGATTATTACATATTTACTTGTATTTCCCATCTATATTTTCCATTGATTCCAATGAGCAAATATTAATTTCATAATCAGAAAAAAACTTTTTTATAAAAATGACTTAACCATTTTCTATTTGACGTAAAACTATAAAAGAGCAATGAGTTCCAGGGTCTGGAGAGAGAGTTTAGGGGTTAAGAGCACTGACTGTTCTTCCAGACAGCCTGGGTTCGATTCCCAGCACCCACATGGTGACCCATGACTGTTCGTAGCTCTGGTTGCAGGGAATCCAGTGCCCTCTTCTCCCACGCAGAATCTTACACGTATGTGAGGCTCATGAGCTCACATAGCTACACATACATACACTAAAAATAAAATAAAAAATAAATAAATTATCTTTAGAAGAACCTTGTGTTCCAACGGCTGGTACAGTGGCTCCGAGGGAAAGGGCCTGCCACTGTGCCTGATGGCCCGAGTTTCGTCTCCAGAGCCCACATGGTGGAAAGAGAGAACTGACTCCCACAAACTGTCCCTTGAAGTGCACACTAGTGCACACAAAATTAGCAAATAAAAATGCAATTTAAGTTTTTGGTTGTTTTTTTTTTTAAGAACCTTTGGCTCTAGAAATAACTCACCGGGTTTCTTGCTATTCTGTACCCATCTTTAAGCTCAAGGTCCAGTTTGTTGCATCTCCTACAGAACTGCCTGAGAGATTCGGCTTGCCTTTTTGGGTAGTTTCTCCAAAGCTCGCTGATAAAGAACCTTTCCATTTTACTTTCTGCAAAACAATCCAGTTCCTTCTGAAGCTGAACTGAGATGGAGCTGATAGCAGAGCTCAGAGGAGTTGCTAGGGCCTTCAAAACATAGCCCTGAGGTTGTCTCCCAAGCTCAGCCAGCTAGGACAGCCTTGGAAACGGTGGCTGAAAACACCACCTTGCTCACCAGCCTCTTCCCTTGCCGTAGGACCATGTGTCTGCTCCACAGACATCTGGGACGGAAAAGATTTGGGGGCTCGTCTTCATGGTTTGAAATTTATTTTCTTTCGGGAAATTGTCTTAGAAAACAGAAACCCGCAGGAAATACAGTTTTTGATAGTTTTGTTTTGGAGGGAATTTGAAGCCATTCCAGAATAAACCAGCTGTGTATTTTGTGTGAATTCGTGCATACATGTGTGGGTATGTGTGTGTGTGTGTGTGAGCTCACATAGCTACACATACATACACTAAAAATAAAATAAAAAATAAATTATCTTTAGAAGAACCTTGTGTTCCAACGGCTGGTATTGTTGGAACCATTTTGTATGAAGAGCTCTTCCTCAATTACTTATATTTTGAGGCGAGGTCTCTCACTGAACCTGTAGCTCACTGATTGCCATCCCACCACCCTCTCTCACGTCCACCCTCCCAGAATTGCAATCATAGGCAGGTGCAGCCGCACACAGCTTTGTTAAAAATGTGGATGCTGGAGATCCGAACCTGTGTCCTCAAGCTCGTGCAGCAAGCACTTCGCCGACTGAGCTAGCATCTCTCCAGCCCCTGGAGCTGTGCCTTGAGACCACCGCCTTTGTACTCTAAGAAAATAAATACCGGAGAAACCAGGACGCCAGGCTCAGAAGTTGGCTCAGTGGAGAAGGCATTTGGCAAATTGCCAGGCAAGGATAAACAGCACCGCTCAGATCCCCAGAACCCTCAACAAAACCTGAGCAGGCTTAATGGCGGCCCGTGACCGCAACACTCACAAAGCCAAAACCAGGGCCTCTGGGACAAAGCAGCTGCTACACTCGCCAGAACTGGTAAGCTTTGGGTTAAGTGAGAGACCCTGCCTCAATAAACAAAGTGAGGAGCAATCGAGGAGGACACCTAACCTCAACTCCAGTCCTCCACACATGCACACACTAGTGCACCCACACACATGTACCCGCACAGACTCCAGCATACATACACGTGTAGATATACAACCTACACAAGCATGCTAATAAAATAGTAATAATCATATTTTACAGGATGCTTTTTAAATTATCTCCTCCTTACTGGGGATTAAACAAATGGTAGACTGCTTGCCTAGTTTGTGCAAGACTCTGGTTCGATTTATCAACACACACACACACACACACACGTGCACACAATCTCTTTCTCTAGTGGGAAGCACTTTTGAAAGCTTAACTAACGTTGATGCAGTTCAAGCCGTGTTTATTGAGTGTTCCAACAGATGCCTGCTAAGCAGGTAGAGGATGTCTAAGGTCCCCCCACCCCGCCTTTCTGCTGACGTCTGCATGCTAAGCTTTGATGAAAATCACATTCACTCTGGTATTCTGTAGTCCAGCTACAAAAGTTCGGGGTGAACTGGAGGAGATAAACCAGTTTATAGCACAAACGAATCTACTGGCACAGAATGGAGGCGAGAACGTTTGTTAGCATTGGTAGGAATGGGAGTTGTTCTTTCTTCTCTTGACATTTCGGGACTGATGAAAATTCTTCAGACAATTGCCAAATTAAGGCAAAAAGGAAACTCTCTCGATATTTACGATGCTCTCATCAGATAACCGATATAAAATATATCCCAGAATTATGCATCTCCTCAGACTTCAGTTTGTTCTTGGGATTTAGAGATAAACAAAGTTGGTCTCAATAAATCTCTCCAACATTGTAAATACACAGTTTCTGGTTCTTTCTCTTCTTTGGGGCAAGAGGCCAGGTCCCACCAGCAGTTTAGATATCCTGGACTTTCTCAAAGATGTCATTGCATCAAACATACTAGGGTGTAGCCAAGAACTGAGAGGCAAGCAGGAGGTTTTTCCATGAGTGTCGCTGCTGAAGATGCCAGCCTCTGGGGAAGCAAGCATCAACCCCTTGAGCCAGTAATTGAATCTGAACTGAGAAAAAGTCCCGAGGGAGAAATATTTGCTCCTTAAAGGTTAAAATTCCAGACTTGGTGGGGTGGTACACACCTGCAGTCCCAGTCCTCAGGAGGCGGAGGCAGGAGAATTTCTGTGAGTTGGAGGCTAGTCTGTCTACATAGGAAGTTTCAGGGACCCTTCCTCCCTTGTTGCTTCTTGTGAAGTATCTCGTCACAGCAACAAGAAACATCCCTGCTACTCTGACGTGAGCTATACACGGCTGCCGTAACCATCACTTGAGGTTATTGTGTATCACCCTGGGGCCAGAGGTTTAAAATATAGTACCTCCTATACCCTAGAGGCTGTAGGGGTTGTCATCTTTTATTTGTACCAGATGGAACCAAAGATCAGATGAAGTGATTTGCTCAGAGCCCCATGGATAGTAAGTGGCAGAGGAGAGATTTGAACCAAGACCTTTCTAATTCCAAAGCCCCTTTGTCTAGAGGAAGACATAGCAAGAGGTTTATAGTCAGGAGCAGATCCTAGAAGCTGCTGTGGCGAGCATGATTTCTTGCCCTGTGATCTACTGCTCCTGTCTCAAAGGCCTGTCCTTGGGTGTGTGACACACACCGCTGGCAGCAATGCTTGTGATCACCTAGGGAGATTTCCCGCTCCTCTCACTCCCGCCCAGGCTTTCCCAAGCCCAGGTAAATCCGTATTTGTGGGGGAGAGACAACAGATGGCTCCAGTGTGTAGTCGAGGTTGGGAAGCGTCACTCTGAAGCGCTGGTTTTTAAAAATGAAGGAGTTGTGAGGAGCTTTTTCATTTTCCCTCCTGCAGACAAGACTGTACAATTTTGTCGACAGCCCCTGAGCTGCTCCTGAGAAGCAGGGCCTTTGCGGCTTCCTTGGTGTGCAGGTGCTGCGTGCACAGACCCCGCCTTGGTATCTGGCTCCTCAACACCTGGAGGCAGCTGAGAACACTCAAGTCACCCATGAGGGGTTGAAAGCAGCCATGGTGCGGTGGGGATCTCGCCCCTGTGGTACCTTGTCACTCTGCTCGCGTAGTTTTGGAAATTATTTTAATATAACTAGAGGAATCGTTTGTTGAATTAATCAGAAGTGAGTGTGACCATGCGTGGCTGAGGACCATGTAGAAAGTCAAATCAGGCTGAGATCATAAAATATGATCAATCATTAAATCATGATGGTCTTTTCTAGGTGGTAGTGAGAACAGGATTTTACCCTCTAGCCCAGGCTGGTCTCAGATTCGAAGCAATCCTCCTGCCTCAGCCTCCCAAGTGCTTGGGTTACAAGAAAGAGCCACTATGTCCAGCTTTGTTGTTGCTGATGCTGCTCTTGTTTGGATCCGGGTCTTCCTGTCACCCAAGCTGTTTGCTGTCGCGTTTTCTGCCCACAGTTAGTTGAACCCACATCAGTAGTACCCAGGCGTACAGAAGACTGTTCTGTTTCAACATAACAGAGGGGCTGAGGCTGAGCTCACTGCTGGAGTGCTTGCCTAGCAAGCCACAGGGATTTACGGTTGGTCCCTAATACTGCCAAGAAAGAAAAGGAGAGAGGGAGGCAGAGAATGAAGGGATAAATGCAAGAAAGTGGGGACGAGAGAAAGGGAAAGACCTAGGGAAGGAAAAATGTTTCATTAATATAATAAAGAAAACCACCCTCTTCTGGCCTAGGAGGTGGTCCTCTCAGGCCAGTGTGCACAGAGGGTTCTGTCTGCCCACAATAACCAACCCAACATTTGCCTACAGAATGAGGTGGCTGTCCTTCTGAAACCCATATCGGAGAAGATTCAAGAAATCCAGACTTTCCGAGAGAGAAACCGAGGGAGCAGCATGTTCAACCACCTCTCCGCCGTCAGCGAGAGCATACCCGCCCTGGGGTGGATAGCCGTGGTGAGTGTGGAAGAAATGCCACCCTTATCCTCCACCTTATGACATTTTTGGGGACCTCGGGGGCCACCTTCAGGTTCCTCGGTCTGTAGTCTGGTGCACGGAAGGAGAGCTCCTTCCAGGCTGAATGTGTCAGCTTTCTCTTAGCCTGTGAAAGCCCAATGCTTCCTACTCTGAGATGGGGAAGGTTCCTCCTGCCTTTACAATACAATGTTTTGCTTCCAACTCTTCCCCCATTGTTCCATTGCTTTTCTTCTGCTTCTTAGAGGTATTTTCTTTCTTATCCTATTTTTTTTTCTTCTATGCTTGGGTGATGGTCCTGTTTTCTCAGTCCCCCAAACCTGGCCCTTATGTCAAGGAGATGAACGATGCTGCCACCTTTTACACTAACAGGGTTCTGAAGGACTACAAGCACAGGTATGTACCTTCCTTTGCTGGCTGTCTTTTCAGTGGACCGCTTGTCAGACATTTGCTCCTAGAACCTAGTATGCTTAATCACCAGTCCCTGTCTTAGTCTCTGCGTTGGAACACTGAGTAACCTAGAGATTGAAATCCCACACTAGAGCTTCGAACCTGTGACCCAGCTCTGGAAGGCAGAAACGGAAGGATCAGGAATTCAGGGTCATCTCTGCTACATAGCAAATGTGAGATATGCCTGGGTCACATGAGACCATGTCTTCAAAAAATGAGTAGGCTGGTGAGAGGACTCAGCCAGCTTCTTTTTCCGGCAACTCACAGAGAGAATCAGCTCCCACAGGTGTCCTATGACCCCCACATGCACACTTTGGAGTGCATATCAACACGTGTACATTAAATGAGTAAGTGTAATAAGGAAACAAACTAAGGGACTAGGAATTGCTAGAGTTAGCAGCAGTTGCTGCTCTTCCAAGGGACCAGTTTGGTTGCATTGTGCAGTTCACAGCCTCAACTCTAGGGGGCCTAACAGCTGCATGTGGCCCCTGCAAGTGCTGACAGGCACCTGCACATACCCACACAGGAGGACACACGTACAAACAAACATTTTAATTTTTTCATTTTTTTCGTGCTTAACAAATGTTTTTCTGAGATCCATTTGTTTGTTTCTACAAAACAAAGCAAGCATTTCAAGCATATCTCCTTTTTTTTTCTTGCAAAATCCAGAGACTCTCAGACAAATCTTTTTTTTTAATCTTAAAAAAAAAAATACATTTTAGTCAGGCATGGTAGCACAGGCCGCTAATCCCAGCACTTGGGAGGCAAAAGCAGGTGGATCTCTGTGAGTTCGAGGCCAGTCTGGTCTACAAAGCGAGCTCCAGGATAGCCAGGGCTACACAAAGAAACCTTTTCTTGAAAAACAAACCAAAAACTACATTTTAAAATTCTAGTTGTGGCCGGGCGATGGTGGCGCACGCCTTTAATCCCGGCACTTGGGAGGCAGAGGCAGGTGGATCTCTGTGAGTTCGAGACCAGCCTGGTCTACAGAGTCAGTTCCAGGACAGGCTCCAAAACCACAGAGAAACCCTGTCTCGAAAAACAAAACAAAACAAAAATAAATAAATAAATAAATAAATAAATAAATAAATAAATAAAATTCTAGTTGTGTAGAAAAAGCCACAAGGAGAGGGATGTCAGATTCCTGAATGGCACACCCAATATATCTATATCTATTTATATCTGTATCTATATCTATATCTACCTCCATTCTCTTTCAGTGAAGAACCTGCCCCATTTGACCACATGACACCACATTATGGATGTCTGTACTTAAAGAATTAGCCTATATGATGAACCTTTTTTTCTTTCATGTTTTGAGACAGAGTCTCTTGATGTATCCTGAGCTGTCCTCAAACCCAGGGTTGTTCTCCTGTCTTGGCCGCCCAAATGCTGGAATTATAGGCATGTGCCCCCAAGCCCGGTGGAAATTTCCACTGATCAAAGTGGCTATAGTGAGTGGCCACATAGAAGGAATGGGGAAGTCCAGAACCAAGGTGGATGAGACCAGGCAAACAGGTGTCAAACCCATATTGAACCTAACTGAAATAGGATCTGGAGGGCAGACAGCTGTTGTCTGAACAGCAGTCAACAGCTGTGGAAAGAACAGGTGAACCAGGGGGTTTGTCTGGAGAACCAGCATGGAGAGATCTGGTATCCGGATAATGGACCCTAGAGAGGAGGAGCTGAGGTTAGAAGGAGAACACACTCAAATGGGGATAGACCAGGTGGAGAAGATAGCTAGGGAAAATATCTCTTAACCTATTTACTGGTTGTCACAAGAGTCCTCCCCCTCCATGGGCTCACAGCTGGCTAGATGACTAACGGAGGAATGGAGATAAAAATAAGAGAGTGGTCTTCCACTGTCTGACTCTGGACTCGAATAGCTCCCCATCCCAGCTCCTAAGTGGAGCCAGCAGAAGTCATTATGGGGCCTCCTGGGGACATCTCTTCTTTGTTCCTGACTGTTCAGGTGGGAAGTCAGAGGACCTGAATTCTCTAGATTATCAACACCTTGGTTATCTTACTAATGAAGATATGAACATCAAAACCACAAGATACATTTAACAGCGTAGAAACGTGTATAGCACATACCAATACCTACCCTGCAGTGCGAGCGCTTGGGGCTACCCGCCTTCTCGGTGTCCTCTTCTGGCTAGAGGGCAATTGCTCTCAACTCGTCTCCAGACCACTGGGTGTAAAACCGTGTTTTCCGTCCTAATGCCGCTCTCATCCGCTCTCTTTTGTAACAAAAGTGATCTTCGCCACGTGGATTGGGTGAAATCCTACCTCAACATCTGGAGCGAGCTTCAGGCCTACATCAAAGAGCACCACACCACAGGCCTCACGTGGAGCAAGACAGTAAGTACCAGCCCCTCTGGCGACCTTTCACCTGGGCATCAGAGGGTCGTAGAGACACTTGTGAAAACGTGCATTCCACGTGGCCTAATCATCGTAAGCTTTAGAGTTTACCTCAGGATAGGAAAGGAGCTTTATGGGAACAGCGTTTTCTTGAGGAAACCCTGAGAATTGTCTGCATGGCATGTGTAAAGGAAGCGGCCGTGCTGTCTATGATAGGGCTGCGGAGGGAGTATTGTTCAGCCATAAAGGATAAGATCGTGTCATTTGAAGGAAGAATGGTGGGAACCGTAGACCACCATGTTGAAGGAAATAAGCGAGACCCAGAAGTACAAATCTCTTCTGGTCAAACTACATGATAAACAGCTATACTTAGGAAAATGCCGTAATGAAACCTATTATCTTATACAACTAATACATGCTATTCGGAAAATTAATGGGAAACTAACACAGTGGATCCTACAGCCATTAAGATCAGCCCGGGTGGTGATTATATGGAGAACAGCCCATCACCCACTATGAAGCCCCAACTCAAAGGATAAAGGTTTACAAGCGCCAAACTGGCATTAAGAAGTAGGAATTAAAGGGGACGTGAGCTTTGAAATGGGCATAGCTATAAATAAAATATCAATGACGAGTTCTGAATATTTCTTTTGATGTAGCAAACTTTATTGAACCGTCTTTTATATTAGCTAGATCAATCAGCCTGGTGTTTTTTTGTCTTGTTTGGGTTTCGTTTGGTTAGTTTCGGTGAGGGGAGGGTTGAGACAGCATCTTCTACCTTCCAGGCCAGCCTGGGTAACCTTAGATGACCTTGAACTTTTCATTCCCCTGACTGGACCTCCTGAGTGCTTGGATCACAGGCATTGGCCACCATGCTCAGTATATGTAGTGCTGAGAACTGAACTCAGGGTCTCAGGCATGCTGGACAATGCACCGGTTAGACCACACCTCCGGCTCAGTCCTCGGACTTTGGCTGTGCCTTAGTAGTGGGGTAAACCCAGCTTGTATGTGTTCCCACTTAAGTTACGTATGGAAACTACAGTGGCCCTGACCTCTCAAGCCTTGCTGGGTTCGTTCCTACCTCACTGAGCATTGCAGCGATCTCTGGCTGCCTGTAGCAGCCTGAGCATACGCAATGCTTAGATCAGTAGTTCTCAACCCACGGTGGGGCGTGACCCCCTTGGGGTCCAACAGCCCTTTCACAGGGGTCCTCTCAGAGATTTTACATACTAGATATTTACATTTCAATTCATAACATAGCAGCTTTACAGTTATGAAGCAGCAACAAAAATAATTTTATGGCCTGGGAGTCACCACAGCATGAAGAACTGTATTAAGGGGTCGCAGCATGAGGAAGGTTGAGAACCACTCACTGGCTGAGCTAAAAGCCAAGAAACTGCTGTTTCCACATTTGATGTCCTCATACTTCATACTGTTTTGCCTCCATTGCAACGTCCTGAGAGGATATTGTGCTATGGCCTTGCTTTCCCAGAGGTCGGTACCCTTACATCTTCCCTGTGGCTCAGTTAGAACATCACAGCTTTGAAAAGCATCTGTTGCTCTTCGTCAGCTCCCCGTCAAGGGTGGCACTCCTCCTCTGTGCTTGCATTGTTTCCTGAGTGAGTCTACCTTAGCTATGCAGTTACCGTCTCTGGTCTCAACCACTTAGGAAAACTTCTCTGTGTCCAGCTCCTGACTTACTGCTCGGAGTGCATGCTCAACAAACGGTATCAAGTACATATCGTTGGTATTCTGGGACCCTTGGGACCTTCCCTGCCTCCTGGAGTCTCTCTGCTTGCTTTCCATGGAAAGCCCCTTCCATTAGAAATGAGTATTCCCTTTAAATAGCCAGCAGTGGAACCAGAGAAAAGGGAAGTCACACATTTGTGAATTCCATCCCAAATCCCACGGACAGCTGTGCTCCAGGACTCGGCCCTCGGTGAGTGCAGAGGGCAGCAGGCTCAAGAGTGGGGTGATTGTGATTTCCAAGTGTTCAGTGCAGTGTGGGGTTCCTCCAAGTGTCCCCCAACAGGTACAAAATGTTAGCAGTGACCCCCCTCCAGACTGATGTCCATGTGTTTCCTCCTTTGCCTCTCCCACCCCACAGCATTGACATGGACCACACAAAGCACAATTAATTAAGTTGGCTATTTTCCTTCTGCCTACAACATGATGATGTGGGCAAGAGATTTCATGCATTTCTAGAGGGCTTTAAGAAGGAGGGTGTGTGTGTATGGGGTGAGTTTTTTGTAGACTGATTATTTTTCTTCATCTCTTTCAAGTGAAAGACTGTTTGTTTTGTTATAAGTCTGTGTGTCATACAGGGGGATTGTCACACCTCGGCCGTGGGGATAAGCCACCCTTGGAGAATAGTAAGCTGAAGATTAGGAGTCTTCGGATTTGTTATTGTCTTCTGGTAGACAAGTATAAGAGGGACAACAGTCCACTTGTGGAAGAGAATTCAACAGATGCTGATTCTCTAATGAGTCTCAAAAAAAATAGGTAGAAAACTTCCTTTTAATGGTTTGAATACCCTTAACACCACATGTAAAGCTAGACCATCATTTCTATGAATATAAAAGGAAAGATCTGATTATTAGTGATAGAAAAATGTCAGTGTTTCCCTTTGTTCTAGAATGAATACTCACGTTATTGCGTTCATTAAAAATACATGCTTCTCAAGACTGGAGATGTAGGTCAGTGGAAGAGCATTTGCCTAGCACGTATGAGTCATGGGCTCATTCCCTATTATTGAGGGATGGAGAAGAATATATGCTTTGTGCCAGTAACTTCCAAATTGCAACTCAGGAAGAAATATACTCTCTAGACACATGCTGCATGCGTACACTAAGACAAGTCCCACAGACTCTCTTTTTCTTACCATACACAATATATTCAGAAAGCCTTCCCTTTATGTCACTCTTGATAAAGCTCTGCTGAAACTCCCAAAACCAATTTCACAATCTACTAATACATCACATCCCACATATTAAAACGCAATGTCATATGCCGTGTGTTATATATTCACACAATATATAAGCGATCCCTAGAGCAAATTGGGCCTCCCAGATTGCCGTACTCATAACAGCTATTGTTTATTAAGCATATGGTTTTAAGCCATGGGAAAATTCTGTTTGAAACAGTAAGTATGCATGCATGCTGTGCACACACTCTAGCCCTCGTGCATGCATGCTGTGCACACACCCTAGCCCTCGTGCATGCATGCTGTGCACACACCCTAGCCCTCGTGCATGCATGCTGTGCACACACTCCAACCCTCAGCCGCACTCCCGACTCTATGCTTCTTCAATGGGACAGTGAAATGATCGTTGTAACCAGACACTAAAAATGTGAAGTAGTTACAATAGGAAAATGTTTATTCAGAACACACGTGTACAGTCTCTTGAAAAGTTTCCAGACTTATGTGTAGACCGTGATTTTTCCTGATTTTTACCCTCTTTGTTGAAAGTTTGAGGAGGAAGCCATTAAAATGTATATTCTAAGGTTGGAGAGATTGGCCAGTGGTTGAGGGCGCTTGCTGTTCTCGCAGATGACCCAGGTTCAATCCCCAGCACCCACACACCGCTCACACCGTCCAGAATCAGAGTTCCAGAAGGATCTATTGCTCTCCTCTGACTCCTGAGGAGAGCACCAGGCACTCGATGTGGCACACAGACATCTATAAGAACAAACCTCTCATCCACATAAAATAAAAAGCCTTTTTAAAGTTTATTCTAAAAGTTATGCTTTTTAACTTGAAAATTCGATTTCTATTTTAAATTACTAAAAACTGTTTAAGATCCCAAGTTCAATTTATTGCACAAGTCAAACTAATCTCTCCCCACTTACTAGTCCAACCGCGTGCCAGCAAAATGAATGTTAGTGGGAAAATCAGATTCATGGTTTTTGCAGAGATGGGACTATTGGAATCATCAGATCAAGTGCCTTGAGAACAAAAATAAATAGGATCCCTTCATTTATTTATCTACTGATTACAAGTATGCAAAAAAAATCTGTATTTATGAGAAGACAAGCATCAGAAAGACTGGAAAAAGACATGGTTTGGTGTAAAACACCACAGGACTCAAACTTTTTACTCTGTGTGTGTGCGTGCGTGTGGTGTCTGTGTGTGTGTGTGTGTGTGTGTGTGTGTGTGTGTGTGTGTGTGTGTAGGTTAGAGGATCACTCTGGGGCGTTGGTTCTCCTCTGCCACCATAGGTCCAGGGATTCTACACAAGTCATCAGATTTGCATGGTAGGCGCCTTTACCCACTGAGCCATCCCGCCAGCCCGTTGCGTCTTCCCAGGCACAGCCCACGGCAATACTGCCCCTGCTTCACAAAGTTATGGGTATGCAATACCTCAGGGATCTTGAGTAATTGTTTTCTTCCATTTTCAAGTTGAATTTTGACATTTCCCACTCTGGGTTTTTTGTTTGTTTGTTTGTTTGTTTGTTTGTTTGTTTGGTATACTACTGAAGACCCTGAGTTCCTCCAGTGGTACATTGTGCTAATAAATAGCCACTCCACCTCCAAGATAGCAGTTGAGACTGAATTTTTCTAACCACCTAACCTTGGCCTTCAGAGTGCAGCTGTGCCAGGCAGCTGCTGCTCCACCAGTCCACTTGTCACTGAGAAATGTGAGACTTTGCGGCCTGGGATTGTTTGGGACAGCAGTCAGGGAGGTAGTATAGGCACAACTATGCTGGTGTGGGTGGTGAGTGTGTGCATAAGTGTGCTGGGGCGGGTGCTGAGAGTGTGCACACGTGTGTTGGCGTGGGCTGTGAGTGTGTTCACAAGTGTGCTGGGGCGAGTGGTGAGTGTGTGCACAAGTGTGCTAGGGTGGGCGGTGAGTGTGTGCACAAGTGTGCTGACGTGAGCAGTGAGTGTGTGCACAACTTGCTAGGGTGGGCGGTGAGCGTGAGTACAAGTGTGCTGGCGTGGGTGGTGAGTGTGTGCACACGTGTGCTGGCGTGGGCTGTGAGTGAGCACAAGTGTGCTA